TATTCAATCTGACATCAGCAAAAGCAATGATGTGATAGGGAAGAATACTGAAAAATGCATAGCTCTGCAAGGCACAGTGGCTCATGACTGTAATCCCAGCACTTTGGGAGGCCGAGACTGGAGGATCATGAGGTCAAGAGGTCGAGACCATCCTGGTCAACATGGTGAAACCCTGTCTCTATTAAAAATACAAAAATTAGCTGGGCATGGTGGTGCACACCTGTAGTCCCAGCTACTTGGGAGGCTGAGGTGGGAGAATCACTTGTAGCCAGGAGGTGAAGTTTGCAGTGAGCCAAGATTGCACCACTGCACTCTAGCCTATGACAAAGCGAGACTCCATCTCAAAAATAAATAAATAAAAGAAAACACACACCTCCTTCCCCAAACTAAACCACACACACACACTCTGCACCCATGAAGCCCAAACAGACACCCTCTCCTCAGGGCTGATGCCCCCTCCCAGGCTCCAGGCAGGGCAAGCAGAGCAGGGAGAGGATTCTGCCTCTGTACTTGGTGCTTTTGTGAAGGGCTCAACCTACCCACCCAACCTACCCTGACAGTCATCACCATTTCCTAACCAGGGGAAGTTAAATATTTGTGTTTGAAATAGATAATCCTGGCTGTTTTGTAGAAAATAGATTGGGAGAGGATGAGTCTGGTTTCAGCAAGTTGTTAAAAGCCTATGTCAGCTGTCCAGGTGGAAAATGATAGGCATTCAGATGAAATGGGTGGCAGCAGGAATGGTGAGAAATGAACACATTCCAGGGATGTTAAAGAGACAAAGTTGACAGATCTGAGGCTACTGTGAGGATTCAGGAGATGATGATGACAGTGCTGATATTAATAATGCTATTGACTGAGGGTTTGTGTGGACTAGTTATTTATATAAGTTCTTTGAACCAAAAAAATTGACTACATCTCATCCCTGCATAGTTGCTGTAAGGATCAGAGATTACATAAAGTGCCCAGCACACAGCAGACCCTTCTTCTCTGGTAAAAACTGGTATAATTATTATTGAGCAGGTGATCTTTGAAACTCCTGTGTTAGTTAAGCAGCCCTAGTTTGTGGACATGGGGAAATGCTGTCGGCATTGGAACTTAATCAAGACCGAAACTCCATCACCTTCTGAGTATCAGGTTAGATTACTCCTGTAACTTTTCAAAGCTACAGATAGTCAACCTCACCTCCATTCAGTTAGTCCAAGATAGGGGCCTTGGTATCAGTGTTTTAAAAGCTCCCTAGATAGCCAGGGTTGAGAAGCACTGAGTTAAAAGAAGTCTTTGGAATCAGACAAATCAGGGTGACATCCCAGCTCTGCCCTTCACAGTGGTTTCCCTTGTCTAAGCCTCAGGTTTTGTATTTGAAGAAGGAGGATCAAAATTCCCCTTGCTCCAGGTTGTGGGAGGATTAAATGAGGTGTTATGTATACTCCATAGGACCTCTGGGACATCTTTCATACCTAGCTTAGTGTGGTGCCTGGCCCCTCATGTGGGTTCAATAGATGTGACTGCCATGACTGTGGGGTTGAGAAGCAAAGGAACTTAGTGAGGCTACGGGCCGGCCCCAGGGGTGAGAACGCTACACCTGTCACCTGGTTTTGTAATCTTTGCCCAAAGTGCACTTGTTTCTTTCACCAGTGCTGAAACCCAGGTCCAGACAGGGAGTAAATCATCTCCCCAAGGGCACAAAGTGAGAGAGCTGGAATTTGAATCCTGTTCTGTGTCCTTCTGCTATACACCAGGAATCGAGCAAGACTTGTTACAGGATAAGAGAGAAGGAGAGAAGAAGTGATGTTACCAGGAAGAAGAGCCCTTGTCTGCCCTGCTTCAAACTGGTGGGTGAGCCACACAGTGAAGGGCAGGGGAACAGCTATCAGCTGGCCAGGGCAGCTCACAGCCACTCAGACAAGAGCTCGGTGGTGAGGGCTGGGCAAGCAGGGAAGTGTGGGGAGGAGAGGGGGTTAAAGGATCAGAGAGCTACTGATTTCAGGGTGAGCTGAGAATCAGATACTTTGTGTATGATCAGATTAACAAATGCAATGTTATATGCCTGCTAATACAGTGACTGGTAGACAGTAAGTGTTCAGCAAACAGCAAACATTATTTTGCCTTTTTCCTCTTTCAGAGCTGCCCCCTTCCACTAAGGGCAGGAGTCCCTCCTCTTCTATAGGATACACCTGTTGGCTTGTTTGTCCATCCTTCCCCTTTCTGGAACTTGTTCTTCATCAACATGATCATGGGGACAGCCATGTCCAGACAGTGTTGCCTGTATTAGCCTATTTTGTGTTGCTCTAAAGAAATACCTGAGGCTAGTAATTTATAAAGGAAAGAGGTTAATTTGGCCCATGGTTCTGCAGGTTGTACAAGAAGCCTGGCACCAGCGTCTGCGGCTGGTGAGGCCACAGGAAGCTTCCACTCATGGTGGAAGGTGAAGTGGGGACAGGCATGTTATATGGCAAGAGCAGTAGCAAGAGAGAGAGAGCAGAGGTACCAGGCAACCAGCTGTCATGGGAACTAATGAGCAAGAACTCACTCACCAACAAGGCGACAGCCCCAACCATTCCTGAGAGATCTGCCCCCTGACCCAAACACCTCCCACCAGGCCCACCTCCAGGACTGGGGTCAGATTTTCACATAAGACCTTTATTATCAATGTCTGTCCATCTGGACATCCAAACTAGATCACCACCTTTGGTCTTTGGGAAATTCAGAAGGACTATGCACTAGAGAAAAGCAACTCCTCTGGCCTGGGAGTTTTGGACTTTTTGCTTTTCATGTGTGTTTGCTTTTATCAAAGCAGGGAATCTGCTACTTGCCTGACACAACCTCATTTGGATCCTGAATTGGGGCCCAAGGACGTCCCAAAGCACTGCCTGGGAATGCCAATTTCTCATCATGAATTAGAAATCAACGCTAGCAGCGTCCCTGCTAAGTAAAAAAATTACATAATTCCTTCTGCACCACTGCATCAGGCTGATTTTTTTCCCCCCTTTTCCTGAATGTACAGTAAATCCCTAGTGGTTTAAGCCATGGTGCCTCTCTTTAAACACAATATGAAATCACTACCAAATTTAAATAAAAAATAAATTCTGTGTTGTGTTAGGAGACTCTCCTGCCAAAAACTCTCACACAATTAACACACTAGCAGAATGTGTTGCTAATTTCATGCCACTGGAGTCTTTTCTGCTTCAGAATATAGAAACAAAATCAGGTCAGAGCTCCAATAATAACAGGATTTTGTTAAAATATACAGCCCTGTGTTGTAGATATGTTGTAGGCATGGGTGAAAAGTAGAATCACAGTGATGCATGAAATAGCTCACTACTGCAAATAGAAGTGGAAGGACTTGTCTCCAGCTTCTTTAGAGAGAGAGAGAGAGAGAGAGAAAGGGGTGGTGGGGAGAGAAGAGAGAGGGAGTGGAGAGGTGAAGAGAGATGGGGGAAGAGAGGAAGAGAGACAGAGAGAGGGGGAGACAGGTAGAGGGAGAGGAGATAGGTGGGGAGAGAGGGAAAGAGAGGAGAGAGAGAGGGAGACAAGAAGAGAGCGAGAGAAAGGAGAAAGAAGAGAGAGAAGGTAGGAGAAAGATAGGGAGAGAGAGGCAGTGAGAAGAGAAAAAAGAGAGACAGGGAGAGAGCGAGAGAGGAGGAGGGAGAGAAAGAAAAAGAGAGGAGAGAGAATGGGAGAGAGGGAAAGAAGAGAGAGGGGGAGACAAGAAGAGAGGGAGAAAGGAGAGAGAGAGAAGGTGGGAGAAAGGGAAAGAGGCAGTGAGGAGAGAGAGAAAAGAGTCAGGGAGAAAGGAGACAGAGAAGGAGGGAGAGGGAGGAGGAGAGAGAGAAAGAAAGAGAGGAGAGAGGTAGGAAGAAAGGGAGAAGAGAGGTAGAGAGAGAGGAGAGACAGGGGAAGAGAGGTAGAGAGAGAGAGGGGGGCACAGGGAGAAGAGAGAGGAAAGAGAGATGGGGAGGGGGGGGAGAGAGAGAAAGAGAGAGAGAGAGAGAGAGAGAGAGAAAGAAAGAAAGAAGAGGAAAGGCAGGCAGGTGGAGAGAGTTAGTTCAGCTCAGTCCAAGCCCACACCCACCAGGTTCTGTGCGAAAGGGTTTCATTATCAATGGGAGTCCCTCCAGACATCCACATACTTTTACAGGGGGAGGCAAATGCCAGGCAAAGAAACTAGGGAAACACAAGCCCAATAAATCACAGCTAGGATTCTAATTCCCCTGGTCCTCTCTGAGGCTTCCTCCCTCCACCTCTTAGCCTCCTTACACTGGGCTTCGTCTTTTCCATAACAAAAACAGCGATAATGAAAATATTTTGGCAGCATTGAGGTCTTTTCACATCGTGACCCTGACCTCCAAATCAATTTTCTTTATTCTTAACCTGACCTTGGCATCTATTCTCCCTGGCGTTCAATATTAGTTACAAAATCTTGAACTCCCGGAGACCTTCCCTCCTCCCGGGATAACCAAGGCAGGCCACGCTGGGGAAGCTCTGGCGAGGACAGAGAAAGAAGGCTTCTTGACAAAGAAAAATCATAACGCGATAAACAAGCCCGATGCCTTCTATAGAAGTCTCATTTGAGCCAAACGCTATTAGCCCCAGTATTTACTCAGACAACGGTGCAGGCAGCCCGGGCTCCCTGCTTGCGTGGGGCGCTGTGGAGTGCATCGTGCATCACCAGCGGCCGGGGTGCTTCCCTTAAATAGTAATATGTAAGGTAGAGCGTGTTGCATTCCATCCATCACCCATGGGCTCGCCCTGTGCAGAGACTGGAAAAATTGCTCACATTTCTCCATTGCTGCACTAATACTAGAAAGGGAGTGAACTGAACAGAGAAAGTGCCAATTTCAGCACACATGTTAAAAGAGAAGCAAAGAATAGAAGAGAAAGCAAGCATCTCCCGGACTGAGACGCTGGGGGAGGGTGGGGGAGGTTTTTAAAGGAGAAGACTGCTTTTCACAACTCTTGTGCATTGACCATGAGAATAAGGACCCACTGAGACAAGAGTTCGGGGTCAGCATACATTTAGGCGGAGAAGTTGGCTGGCAGGGGCTATTTTTCTGCAAATTAGTTTTCTCTCTCAAGGGTAACGGTGGGGGAGGAGCAGAGGAAAATGAATTGAGCCCGCTGAATAATCGCGTATTGTTCGGCCGGTTGCCGTGACCTATGAACTGATGATGCTCCGAGAAGTGTTTCCAGGCCTTCCTTTCATATGGGCCAGGATGCGAAGCCTCTCACAGCTGTTGACCAGTGTCCTGAAGGGGTAGCCCCACAAACAATGGTCACAGAGCATCGGCTCCACTCGGCAAGAGAGGCACCGTCTGCTGGTCAGTACAGCCGACTGCAGAGCTGGACAGGTGGCCAGGCAGGACGGCGAGAAGAGGCAGAGTCCAAACTTTATGCTGATCACAAAGAATTGAGAAAAAGGGGCAAAGTGGAAAACACAGTGTAGCAGAACACCATAGATCGATCGGCTTTTCTTGGGGATTAGAAGGACCAAGAGCTCTGTAGTGGTTCGAACGGTCCAGTGCAAATGGCATTCTTCTAGGAAGTGTGCAAATTAAAAGTGAATCGATTCACCTAAATGCATGTGTGCCTCATTGTTTTCACGTCCAGAATCTGCCTGGAATGCACAGCCTCGTGTTCTTCCTTCGGACATTTTATCATGCTCACGTTGGCATCAGAAAATCCTGCATCATCTAAACTGGTGCTTCTCTGCTCCCTTAAGCACCCGAATGCAGGTGAGCTAAATGTGCAGAGACTCTAAGGTGAAGCCGGGAGGGACCCCTCCCAAGGGAGAGCCTTCTTTGAAGTCTTATACTTCTTATCTTTTAAAAAGTACCTAAAACGGGGCCGGGCGCGGTGGCTCAAGCCTGTAATCCCAGCACTTTTGGGAGGCCGAGGCGGGTGGATCACGAGGTCAAGAGATTGAGACCATCCAGGTCAACATGGTGAAACCCCGTCTCTACTAAAGATACAAAAAATTATCTGGGCATGGTGGCGCCTGCCTGTAATCCCAGCTACTCAGGAGGCTGAGGCAGGAGAATTGCCTGAACCCAGGAGGCGGAGGTAGCGGTGAGCCGAGATCGCGCCATTGCACTCCAGCCTGGGTAACAAGAGCGAAACTCCGCCTCAAAAAAAAAAAAAAAAAAAAAAAAGTACCTAAAACAGATATATTGTGCAGCAGTCTGAAGTTTAACATTACAGATACCATTTTAATCCCTTCAGCTCCTCAATTCTAGGATTTCATTCTAAGATTCAGCTCAATCTGTATCAGACAAAAAAGAACAATTACCAATTTAATGCATATTTTGAGTTGAGGAGGAGGACTCCATCTCAGATATACAAAATTTAAAATCTGAAAAATAAAAATCTATGTCATAAAAGCAAGAAAATGGAGTAATTATAATCAGGGGAAATGGAAATTTCCAGAATTAAGAACTAGTTTCATCTGTGGCTCCAGACAAACTGGGGTATACCACCACTTGCAAAGCATTACAAAGGAGACAGCTATTGTGAAGTGATGAAAAGTAGACTTCTCCGGTTGTAACCACCTTGTCATGAAATGCTGTGTCTGACTCACTCTAGGGCTGTCAGAGCACAGTGTACTGCCAGGCACATGGCTGGTGTTCAATAAAGACTTGTTGAAATTGACAGTTGTTGATAGTGCTCTGTATTCATGTTCCCCTTTAGGTAGCCTGTGGCAGGGCGATGAGCCTGCGATGGGGACATCTCACAGTCCAGCAGTGGGAAGGGCCATTCTTCTTGGAGGCAGAATAGGAAAGGGCAGCACATGGTCCCTTCCACCTGAGTCTAAGTACACACCCACTTTCCATCTCTGCCGCAGACTAGCTGCATGATCTTGGGATCCACTTACCTGGGCCTTCCAGCCCTTCTCTGGCAGAAGGAAGCATCAAACACCACCCTCTCAAAGGTCTATTTAAAAATTCTACAATACTGTGTATTTAGATTTATAAGGGAATTTTCTTTTTCACCAGTCGCTACCTGAGGGCTGAAGCAAGGGGCAAGATAGGGGACGATAAATCAGCTCTGCTCTTGTCTCCACTGTGCCTTCCCAGCTGGAAGGGCACAGAGGATCCGGTGTGGTCTCTCCACTTGGGAGGCTGCCTACCTGGTGCCCTTTGTCCTGTTCTGGAAAGAAAAACCTCAGAACTGAAGATATACTGTGAAGGGTGGTGAAAAGTACAGTTAGTTACCTTATCACAAATTCACCTTGGATGAGGTAATTCACTAAGCAGGTCACAGGGCTTCAGTGTTACACTCCTCCCACAGGGCCCTGTAGTCAGTTTCTAGAGTGTTCTTACTTAGTACACGTGGCCACATTCTGGTCAAAGTCAGCAGAGCCATCCTAAGTCAGTGTTCTGTGATCTCAGCTCAATGTTTTGTAGTTTTTAAGACTGATTTCCTGTTAAAATGACCCAGATTTGAGGGTCAAATATTCAGGAGCAAGAAATGAAAAGAAACAGATTCTGATTTTAAGATTTCAGGTTTTAAGCATTAGGCACAAATCCATACTTACATTTGGTTCAGTAAAAAGCAAAGCTGGTGATTCTTAAAATGAAAATGCAGTGTTTTCCACTTGAAGAAATCCCAAACTTGCAAAATTAGCTAAGTTAGAGAGTTATGTTTTTAATTATAAAGGGATTTTGCTTTCTGCAGTGACTCACCCTATGGCTCCAGCTTCCTAGGAATTTAAAATATTATTTACTCCCCCTCCCCCACAAAAATTCATATGACATTTAATAAAATCAAACAGAAGATATTTGACTATATTTCAATATAAACAAAACATGGAATAACCCTCTTCTGAAGATCTCTTTCTGAAGTAAGGGAGTCTTGAAATGGTATCATATTTACTTATTCATGTATTCACCCCAAAACCACTGAGCAGGTCCTGTTCTACGGCAGCCACAGTGCTCGGCCTGAGGGTGTATCCTCTGACACTTTTCTTTTTCCTTCTCCATGGCTTGGCTTCCATTCTCTCTTTGTCCCCAAGAGGCTGGGGGATATTGTGTGTCTGACCCGCTGGAGGAGGGGCTAATTATATTAGGATGACAAGTCATGCCCTTCAAGAAGAGCGCTGAAGTTGAAGTTTGGCAAATGGTCAACACAAACTTTCAGTCGGGTTGAGAACTTTCACTGCCAAAAACAGTGGTTCTCAAAGTGTGATTCTTGGACCGGCTACATTGACATTCACTGGTGAGCTTGTGAGCAAAGCGAGTCCCAGGCTTGACCTACTGAATCAGAATCTCTGGGAATGGGGTTTGAGAAATTATGTTTTAACAACACTCCAGATGGTTTTTATACACCTTAAATTATGAGAACCACTGGCTTGAAGTTAATCAGGCTTCAGGTAGGCAAAGCCCCGAAAGTCTTCTTTCAAGTCCTGATAGTATTACCAACTGAGTTCTATCACCTGGCCAGTGATAGCCCTGGTTAAATCTTCAAAATCACACAAGCATCTCCAACCAAGTTATTTATGCAAAGTTCCAACTCAAAGAGAAAAATAGCAAATTCTCAGTGATAATCGAAAGGGAAAATATTTGGACAGGTGATTTTAGGAACGGGCTATGGATCACTATGTACAATAATGAAGTTGAGCAATTAGGTTTGGAAAGCCGCAGCACAGAAAATAATTAACCCACAAAGTAATCATCTTGGAAGTCCCAAAGCTAATGATTAAAATAAACCTGAAACAAATGATTGTTTAACTTTTAAGCTGTGCTTGTTTTAGCCACAGTGTATGTCAGGTGCGAGCTCCCGGGAATTCCTCCTGCCTGCCGAGATTGGCTTCAGGACGAGGGCATGTGTCCATTCCTCTGCCTCTCCTCCCCTGGGGATGGTTTCTTAGAGTATCACAGAAGAGCACTCCAGTTTGGGTCGAGGAGGTTGGCCGGGCTGCTCAGGTCTGCGGGCACTGAGGGGCATCAAACCCCAGAATGCGGTCTGCAGCTGTGGTGGGCTTCAGCCATGTTGAATCCTATATAACCTTGGAGGCTGGGATGCGCGCTTTGTTTTTATGCAGCTTGCTTTGCACTTTCATTGGTGGTTTATTATTGCAAAGCCTGGTGCTCCCCTCCCCCACTTGCCTCTCCACCCAAAGAAGTGAATTAGAAAACGAGAGAGAAATGAGATCTAGAAGGGTCTGGGCTTCTGAATGTCACTGTGAGCAAACAGCGGTGGAGAGAAAAGGTTCCTTTCCATCTTTATGTGCAGTGCTGTCTGTGCATTGACTTGTTTCCTGACACATGAGCCATGGCTTGAAAGGAATTCAGGCCCCAGCAAATTTTGCATTGCGCTTCAATGTGGCCTCTGGGATTGAATAAGGGCAAATCTATTATACTGTTGCCATGGAGACCCTGGCACAACTGCTGATAAAGAGTGTCTGATGTTTGGTAGGCCTCATAGCATGGTACATACCATTTAAAGGACGGTGTGTGTGTGTGTGTGTGTGTGTGTGTGTGTGTGGTGTTTAGCATGCATGTGTGAGTCTGTAAGAGTAAGCATGCTTGTGGGAGTGGGTGGGGTGGGTGGGGGAGGGGGTGGAGAACAGGGTGCAGTGGGGGAGGAAGGAAACATGGCTGGCTTGGTGTGTCATGAAGGAATGTACCGTATTTTTACAAGGAATTTGTAAATACTTTTTGGCCTCTGAAAATTAATTCTGCCTTCTAAGAATCTACATGTTAAACAGATGGGGGCAGCAGAAGATACACAGACTCTCCCCTTAGTCTAGCAAAATTAGTCTTTAATTCATCTGAAAGAGAATTAAGCTAATACAATAAAAGTGAAAATGCGCTCTTTTGCGTCCTTTGACGAATGCTGCCTCCTTTCAGCCGTCTGTCTGAGGATCAATAGTGGGTCTGTAAGGAGCGCCAGCGTCTGCTAGAGCAGCAGCGAGATGATGGATTTTAATCATTCACATGATTTTATAACCACGAAACAAAGAAGGTGGATCTGCCTTCCACATGCATAATCTCAGTTTTGCTGGTTTGATTTTGCCAGTCCTACATGTACTTCCTGTCTGGAAGGCACAACTCTCATTTTCCAAATTCCATTCCACACCTCCATGACTGCCTCTCAGTGATCGATGTGTTTCACTAGAGCTCTTTTCCCCATTAGCCCCAGACCTGGAGAGAGGTGGCACTGGGAAGTCCCGAGCTGAGCCTCCTGGCTGGCGTTGAGGTGAGGCATCTCAGGCGGAATCACCTACAGTAAGCAAGCTTCAGAGCGAGCAGCTCTAACAATGGGAGGCTGGGCAATCTGCGACAGTTGATAGGATTATTATTATTACAGAGCGCAAAAAGCTTCTGCTTTCTTTTCTGCTGCTTTGCAGACCTCATAAGGCCTCTCTGTGATTTCTGCATAGTTAATTTGTCAGTTTATAAATTACCACATTATGTTAACGCTGAATGCTTCAAAACACAAATATATGCACAGAGGGCTTGAATATTTGAAGTGTTTTAGTACTATAGGGAAATAATTTTGTTGTCAAGCTGTGGCAGATATAGAACTGCTAGGGGATACATGGCCATTTCATCAGGACTGTGTCGATGATGGCCTGTGAACATCCAAGGGGGAAAATCATCTTTTATCACTATTGTGTACCGTGCCGGTCCAGATGGGGGATAAAACATGCATGAGTTGCCCGCAGCTCTGAAAATAATTATACTCATTTGCCAGAAATGTAGAAAGTGCATCCAACCAAGTTACCACCCATCATAGTGACACTCTGTTTGCATACTGATGAAGTTTAAAGCCAGAGACAATGGTGTTGGTATCAATAGTGAAGGGGGGGGCTGGGCACCACCAGTGCCGTAGGATTAATAGCACCATCATTTTACATTATGCAGCATTTCACTTATGCTGCATATCAAAAGACTACTGCCTCTGAGGTTCACCTCTCTGTTGAGAAGATTACAGTTTGCTTTAAGACTCCAAACATTAGCATGGCTTCTTTGCAGCTTCCATAAATGAATGCAAAAATATCTGTGTCCTATAAAGTGCCTAGGATGTAATTATGGGTAAATATGTTTGGGTGCCATTATAAGTGCCTGCATGTGTATATATGTGTTTGTGAGTGTGGATGGGTACATACATACCCACATGCACACGCATGATTTTGGAAGACTGCAATGGAATATGAGATGATAATATGTGCATGCTAAGTCCTGGTGCTGCTGCAGAGTCATTGATGAATGGGTTTTTTAAATGTAGAAAGAGAATGAATACAAGTAGGACCCAAGAGAATAATTCTTTATATTGCAATCAGCTCAGCTTATATGTACTTGCTTTAATCGTAGAAATCAGCAATAAAAAACATAGACTTGGTTATTTAATCCTGACTGAGTAAAAGCGAACGTCTTATAATGACCCTCTAAAATATTATAAAATATTAAATTATTTTGATATGCCTCTCATTTTTAGACAACTATAAAATGATCAGTGCAGCCATTACCAGAAGATTAATAGATTCCTTTAAATTTTTGAATCCAGCAAACATACATGTGTATACTAAGCGGCACTTTTCTAAGGGAACCCTGAATTCTCAAAGGTGTTCCACGGTTTGAAAATAGCCCAATCATGATGTTGTCATGATGCTTATTTTTAAGTAATGATTTTAATTAAACCCCCTAAAAAGGGAACAATTCTATACTCCTCTTATATGGTCTGTACTCTGATGATTACACAAGTGCAGTTTCCCGTTTTACTCTGGTGTCATGGGGGCAGGGATAATTTCCATCTCATCACATGAGAGAGACCCTATATTTCACTTGGCACAAGGCTCCAATGTAATCAGAGGAAGGTTTTTATACTATAAAATTACAACAAAATAACCAAAGAAAAAGTATTGTTTCAACAGAAGTGGTTCAAAGACAAATACGTAGTGCAGAAGATCATAGAATGTTTTTATGTGGCAACAAAAATAGATTTCTTCAACTCACTGGGACAGACTGGACCAATAAACTCTTCCCAGGTTTTCCAGTTTGACTTCTTTAAGAATGGTTTTTAAAGTGTGAAGGGAACAGGGAATCCCCACAGCTTGACACAGAGTGGTTGAGAGATAGAGTGAGGCAGGCGAGCTAGGACATGGGAGGACTTTCACATGAGTGGGTGGCAGGATGAACTCTCAGTAAACTGAATACAGAAAAAGGTAGATTTACAGAATGATGCTTCTACCTTCCCCTGTATTAGCAATAATGAGAACACCATTGGGATGCTGCCAAAGGCCTGAGGACAGACCTGAAACTGCTAAGAATCAAGCTTCTCAGGGAGGTCCAGGTAGTGCTCATTGAGTCAAAGACTTCTGAGAAAAACAGGTGATACATTTATTTAAAGTTCAATGAGAAATTAGGCTAACTTTATGGTTCTCAGAACTGATATGATTGATTAGTTTTACATGCCTGAAATTTTTTACATGGCCTCAGATCTCAAAGAAGAAAGAATGAAGAGAGCCAGACAGATGCATGCACGTGCGCGCGTGTGCGCGCGCACACACACACACACACACACAAAACAATCACACATGGGGCTTTTCCAAGGAGTTAGAAGTGATAGGAATGGACATTTATAGGATGCTTTACTACATGGCATACCCATATACATCTTTTTTCTTATAACAAAGCATAGATATTGCCACTCATTTTAAAGTTAAAGAAATCAAGACATACGAAGGTGAATAACTTGCTCAAATTCAGACAGCTGATTAATTAGAATTATTTGAATTCATCTGTCTGACTTCTAAGCCCACAGTGATTATAGCATACTGATGTATTTCAGCCCTTCAAGAGTCTGTCAAAAATACCTAAAGCGCTAAATACCACTAGTAGGTAAGGCCTTCATGCTAATGTGAAAATGAAGTTAAAAAGAAATAAAGGACAATATCTATCAATTAGTGATCTTGGCAATTATGGCAATTGAATATTTAAATACTGAGAGTGCTCTGAGTAAAGAGATAGTGTCTTTTGGTGACAACACCCTTTTGGGAATAAATAATTATGGAAATAAGTTTCCCCCTACATACTACAGGTCAAGATGTGAGGCACCAAATTATTGAGTACCATCTCAGTCAGGAGACCCCCACCCAGGTGGCACTGAAGGAAATGAGAAGCAGACACCCAGATAGAACAGCAAAGTGGGT